TCCTACTTACTTTTTACTGCAGGCTTCATTTCACCACATCAAAAATGGGGGTAGGGGGTGTAGAATCAGCTTTAATTGAGGCAGGAAAGCTCATAAAAGCCTGTAGCATCTTCATCAGAGCTGCTCTTGTTTCCCACTGAATAAGGTCTTTCTCAGGCAAGTCACTGGTAACATAAACACCGCTCTGTCTTTTGGCATGCAGTCACTCATGGCTGGGGGCGATTAAAATTAAATAGACTTTCAGATCATCAGCAGAGGGAACAGCGAAGGGGGGACCTCCCTCTTTCAGTTCTGCACCTTAGCTGGGCGAGATCTTTTTTATTTCTGGCCTGGGGTGTTTTGCTGGGGAAGGGATGCCTCGTGGGCACGTAGGGGCTGGATCTGTGTGTGCACACTGGAAAAGCTGGGAGCCGTCCCCCAGGCGGTGGCCTTGGAGGATGCTCTGCATCTTGGGTTGGAATTGGGCCATAAGCAAAGGGGACAGCAGTAAGGAGGGACTTCATCTTGGAGGGATTCATCTTGGAGTGTGAGGGAGGTGCAGCTTACACCCATGGCCACACATCCGCCCCACCTAGAAAGCCGTGTCCCCTTAGGGGACATGCTGCTGCCATCATTTGTCCTCTTCGCATTAGCTTTGCTAAACTCAAGCAAGCCAGTTTCCCCAAAAGAAGGATCCCTACTCCCCTGACAGTTCCGTAGCCCTCTCCTGTCCCGGTTTTGGGCTGAAGTATGTTCTTTGAACACAGTGATCTGCCCTGTGCAGGCTGTTCTGGGGAGCTGAGCCATTAATAGCCCACTGGTGTACACAGAGTTGCTGCATCCATCAGCACACTCCGATCCTCCTTATCCTGAGCTTTCTGCAAGCACTGAGCTCTCTGCTGAGAGCAGAAATTCTGAGTCCCTAAAGCCTAACTTGGCACTTGGTACTATTTAATGTTGTCCAGTGTTTTTTATTCCAAGAATAACAGGCTGTCCAGATCCCCCCTGGGCTGGCGATGCCTTCTCCCTTTGCACTGTCATCAAGAGATTTCATTAACGCTTCCAACTTCCCGGGCCGAGGGTGATACGGTGCTAAATGAGGTTATTAATCCTACATGACTCCAAGAATTCCTCAGACGTCAGGCAAGTCACTTGGGCATCCTCTAATCAATGCCATAATCTGGTTTTTGCCAGAAAATGTTTGCTTTAATGTCTCTTATCTGGAGCCCTTATAGCTCCTGGAGCTGGGACTAATTACCCCTGCAGGGGAGACGCGCGGCCCCGCGCAAGGGATGCAGCAAGCCGGCAGCATCCCTGCAGCCCACGGCAAAGGCAGCAGCAGCTGCGAGCACTGCCCAGAGCTCCCTGGAAGTCTTTAACTTCTTCTGCAGAGCAGCAGAAACAAATGCAGGGATTTGGGAAATCTGGTCACCTAAATCCCACCCATTCCCCCCAAAATGAGGCTCCGAGGTGCTTTTGAGGATGTTTGTCCTGGTGATCTCTTCCCAACGTGCTCTGGGTAAAACCTCCTCGAGGAGGTTACTTCAAGGAACCCCAGTTCCCTGCTAAGCCATCAAACAAGCGAAAAGCTCGTGTTTTCCTCCTGCACCAGAAAATTGAAGAGTGGCTGTGGGGAGGCAGAGTGCAGTAGTTGTCTGCTTTTTAAAAGCTTGCTGCTACACATGCAAATCTTTAATTAAACATACTCATAAAACTATAATGAACCGTTCATCTAATTAAATGGGGTGAGTCATTTCATTAATTTTTAGCAAACTGCAAGGCTGCTCTCCTGCCCTTCTCGCTTGGAATTCAAAGGGACAAGCTGAACCATTTGAGGGAAATTATCTTCCCTTTTGCGGTTATTTTGTTCCTTGTGCACAGAACCTGTTTAACTGACCATAGTTTACACACTTCTAATTAAAAATGAATTATCCGAATCCTGTTGCTGTTCTTGATGGTTGCTTCTTTCCCTCCCAAGCTGTCCAACCCCAGGCTGTAACGGCTCAGGACACATCCGTGGAAAGTATGCGAGACACAGAAGGTGAGGCTGGGTCAGAGGTAGCCGGGATGGAAAAATGCCAGAAAAAAACCCAAAGACAGATGTTCACTGGAGAGAGGCTGGTCTAGAGCAGCAACCCGACTTGCCCCACCCCAAATCTGCCTGCCAAAGAGACAATTTTCCATCTTTCCATCAGTCCATGAGGGATCCTGGGGGATCTGCTTCACCAGGCTACCAGTAGCCTTCCCCCAGACCCCAGACCAAGGCAGAAGCACCTGGCTCGGGCACCTGGGGTTGATGGGAGCTGTTGGCAGGCAGAGATTTTAGTCTGCTCGGTGCCTCTAGGGATGGGGAGGGGAACTGAGAGCCCACTAGCTGCCTTTGAGGCCAGGCCAGCCTTAACTGGTGGCTTTCATCACCCTATAATGGTGAAATGGGAGTAGTTGGACATGCCCCAGGCATTGGTTCTGCATCCCCTGTCTGGTTTCATGGTGGCACTGGTGGCCATCACCAACAGCGGTGCTGGGAGCTGCTGGTCCTGCTGCTCCCATGGACCAGATTGCTGGAGTGAGTCCAGCATCCTTGCGCTGACTTCTGAGTAAAGTCGACAAAGTTGCACAAAGTCAAGGTGTGAGAGCAACTCTTCTGGCCATGAAAGGTCGAAACAGCTAAAAATCTGGGCTGATGGATTTTTTTTTAATTATTTTTTTTTTAGTATTTGTGTATTTGTCCCCCTTGCCTTTGCGTAACCGGTTCAGATGCCGTAGCCGAGCCTTTCTCACCGGGCAATGTCTCCTCTCTGCTCCTTGACTCCATCTGCAGTTTACAGAGCTGCCCTCTAGCCAAGAAGAGGAAACTTCAGGATGCGGAGTCCGAACATCTGGTGTCGAAGAGAAAATCCCATCCGCTCAAGCTGGCCTTGGATGAAGGCTACAACGTCGACAGTGACGGCAGCGAGGAGGCCGAGGCGAAGGAGGAGTCCGGCTCCGACGAGTCGGAGGGGATGCTGGAGGAGGACGAGGCGGAGGCGGTGGAGCAGGAGGAGACCCGCAGCCCAAAGCCGGCAGAAGGTGTTTATCATTATCGATTGCAGAGCTGGGTTCTGCAGATGCATCAGGGGCAGGGAGTGTTCATACCAGGAGTTACAACTCCTCTGAATTACGTACAGGATGGGTCCTTCAGTCATTACGTTTGGTGGAAGCACAATGGCAAAATTCTGTTAAGCTAAGAGCGGATACACACAGATTATCCCCAGTGTCTTAAAAATGAGAGCTTTTCCATCAGGGATGCTCCCTGGAGAAAGACCCACAGAGAGCACAGAGGAGCTCACCGCGTGGCTCAGATGGCAGCGGGGGTCCCACATCGGTGCCTCGAGGGGCTCGGCTTC